TGCCGACGAGGAAGAGCGATTTGGAGAGCAGGCCGGTGCTTCGCCGTGGTGGCACCCAGTTTTAGTACCATCTGAGCCTTGGTCGCATCGAAGTTGCGCACTTGCTTTGACAACGGGATGTTCTTCCCGGCGAACTAGATATGCAAATACAGTTCAAATTATCTAAGACCTTATTTAAATCCAGGGTATAAAGTTTTAGAGTGGTATCACATGAGGGTGTCGTATGTGGTGTTTGGATACTAATAAAAAAAAATTACATAATCTGTCAGTAATCTACGAGATAAATTTATTAAGCCTAATTAATTCATCATTAGCACATGTGTCCTGTAGCACCACACTGTCAAATCATAGACTAATTAGACTTAAAAGATTTGTCTCGCAAATTAGTCGCAAACTATGCAATTAGTTATTTTTTAGTCTATATTTAATATTCAATCCATATGTCAAACATTCGATGAGATATGGAGTAAATTTTAGGGAACTAAACAAGATGGTGGTCCGAGCAAATTGTACGGCTAGCGATGATGTCAAAGTCACATGTGCTCAAAGTCAGCGTTGAGATATATCTGTCTCTCTGTCTCCATCGGTTCCTTGGACATGCATGAAGCATGAGTTGGTTAAGTTTGACCCGAAAGATATGATCTCTGAAGTCTGACCATGCTCGCGGATGCAAGTATGCAACTAGGACTACATGCGTGGACGAAATCACTCTGATCATGCCGAAAGATAACTCATGTAATTAATTTAGCTTTTTTTTACAGATTTGTGTGATCTGAACTTTGTGGCTGCTAGCAGCTACTACTAGATCGGCTGCACAGTTAAGGTACGCAAGAATCACAGAAATTAACAGGTTTTTTTCCCCTCTGCAGCGACACATTATATATGCTGAAAGCTGAATGATAACTTACAGTGGAGTCGAGAATCCCAGCTTCTCCAGAAGCATAGTTCAGTCGGCCGATGCCCCTGGCGACGAGACGATGGCGTCGGCTGGAGCGCCGCGAGAGCGACAGATACGCCGGCGGGCTCCTCTTGAACCCCATAGCCTTCGCTGCACCCATTCATGTCCGTCAGGCGTCAGCTCGAGCTCCCCCGTGCTAGCCAGTCGTCGCGCATACCACCAAGTACACACAGCCAGAAACAAATAAACAACTCCAGCGCGCCGTCGATCGAGAGAGAGTACATACCAACCAAGTCGGCGACGTTGTAGCCGTTGCTGAACCTTCCAGTGGGTCTGGCGCCGCCGGGGAAGTCGACGCCGTAGTAGGGCATGCTGGCCCGGGGGACGTCCGCCCCCGGCAGGTAGCTGTTGTTGCCCACGTCCAGGAGCGAGTCCCCGAACACGTACACCGCCGGCACGGCCGTGGTCGTCGGCCGGAGGGCGCCACTAGTTCGATGGATATCGTCGTCACCATCGCAAGTGTAACGGCGGCACCAACACCAACGTTAATGGCTTTGTGGCGCCGCAATGTCGTGGTCGTTGGTACTCCGTAGTCTGCAGGCTGCAGTCTGCTAGTTGATTGAATGCTAGGAGATGATCCATTCGCCGATGGTCCTGTTCGGCAGGACTTATTACTGCTGCGACTGATTTATAAGGCTGATTTGTTGTGAGAGAAAAATACTACTCTCATAACTGACAAGCGAACAGGGCTGATCAACAGCATAGCCATCATGGCATTGACTCTACAGCAGTGCAGCTGCACCTCCGCTGAAAATGATGACAAGAGTTTTAGCCCACAAATTTATCGATAACGATCCGCCACGTCCGTTATGTGACTCCTGTCCGGACGTGGTTCCGTAGAAGGGGCCCATCTCTCTTAGAAACAAAAAAAAAACAAATCCTCATTCCCTCGTCCGCTTATCCGGCCGGTCCCCAAAGCAACGTGGCCGTTCATCCGTCCGCCCCGTTCCCCCACCGGGCGCTCGTTGGGTTGCCGCGCCGTGCCATTCCCCCATCACCGGCCACGTAGTGTGCCCGTCCCAGTCACCTACGTTGCTCGCTCCCTCGCCGTCCATCTGTCCCCCAATCGCCATCGAGCGCGCCGTTGACCCCGGCATGGCCGCTGGGGCTCACATGCTGTGGCGCCTCGGGTCTTCCCCGGTCGAGCGATGGGCGCGACCGGTGCTGGTGGGGCTCGAGCGTCGCGTCTCGCCATCGGCTCCCACCCCGACGAACCGGCTCGGCCTTCCCTCCCCTATGTTGCATATGTATGTTTTAAGTGTTTTAAAAGTTTCAAATTTATGTTGTAATTGTTTTATCTTGACGTTACAAAAGTAGATCTGGGGATGTTGCACATGTTGCTTATGTTGCAAGTGTTTCAGACGTATGTTGCAAGCGTTTGTTCAAAATGTTTCATTTGTTTCCTATCTGGATGTTGCATATGTTTCACACATTTGTTGCAACAGTATCTTCCAAATGTTTCAGTTGTTTCAGTCTTATATTGCAGCAAGTGATTTTATGTTGCAAGTATTTAATTTGAATGTTTCATGTGTTTCACACACATGTTACAAGTACATGTTCCAAATATTTCATCTGTTTTAAGTCTTACGTTGCAAGTGTTTTACATTGTTCGGCAGGGGTGCGTCAGGGGCCATGTGGACAGGGGCACGGCGGATGGGGTGCGGCGGGCCAGGGCGCGCTGGGTGCGTGCTCATCCTCAACCTCTTATCCGGGCTCCCGAGTTGCCACCCGCACGGAGAGTCGGAGAGAGAGGAGGGGGTCAGGGGAAGGATCGACAGGCGTAGAGGCGGGGCGGAGTGCACTCGTGGGGCGGGGCGAAGGCGGACGGGGGCGGGCTGTGCGGGCGTAAAAAACACAACAATGCATGGAAATGTAATTTCTACCTCGCTATTTTCTCATATCCTAGCTTTTAGTCAAAGACATGGACGTACGGCCTAGATCTTGATGTCTTCGATTTCCTAAGAGCATCTCTAGCACTAATACCTAAAATAGGGTCATCCCTACTTTTGTATTTGGGTATCCACATATTTTGGTGCTACTTATTTTTTATTGTTTTGTCTAACGACACTACCTAAAACAGACCCCCAAATCCATCCTAGAAGAGAATGACATGTAGGACCCACATGTCATCCTCTTCCTTCTCTCATCGCCATAAAAAACTCGGCCATCTCCCTGCGGACTCGCCTTGGCCTCTAGGGAAGAGCTGGTAGGGAGGTTGCGGAGGTAGGGAGGAGGCGCCTGCTTGGGAGAGGAGGCCATGACAGAGGAGAGGTGCCTGCGCTGGGGAGAGGAGGTTGTGGTGGAGGAGAGGTGCCTGCGTCAGACCCGGAGATGGCCGTGGAGGCGCGGGACGGGGGGAGGAGTTGTCAGTGATAGGCGTCGAAACACGGTCGCTGTTGTGGAGGCTGGATTGATCTGCCCTCGTTGGCCCGCAGTTGTCGCCGGTGGCAGTGTAGAAGGGCTTGGCGGCGGTGACTTTGTCATGTCTGGCTATTCCACGATGGCCGTGGAGGCGCGGCCTACCCTCAGCTTGGCCAAATGTGGTGGTTGGGGACGGGAACGACAAGGGTGAGGCATGCGACGGCGGTGGAGTGTGCAACCATGAGGAAGGAAGAGAGCACACACTGTGCGCGGGTGCTCGCGGTGGTAGTGGAGGAACGGTGTCCAACAAACTTTTAGATGCCCATGTGCTGGCTAGGAATGAGTAGTGGGAGGGGAAAAGTAGAGCGGCTAGGCTGACTAGCCCATGATGAATCTAACCTGGGGGTGCTTGCCTCACTGACATGGTGAAGGCATATATGCAAGATAGAGTGATGGTCATAGATTGGTGTGGGGTAAAAAGTATGAAGATGGAGCGACAGAGGCCGATCTGCATATGGCCCTACCCTCGCTAGGATGCACTGCTCAAGAGCATAGCCATGATCGAGGATCTATCCTGGCATGCCACTGTTGACACTTCTTAACGTCGCTACCAGGTTTGTGTCCCTGACAACGGCGCCAGAAATGTTTGTTGATATTTCTTATGCTCAAGTAGATAATTCCGCAAGCACACAAAATATCGTTATAGCATTTCACACAGAAGTATTATAGGATATCGTATTTATCCATAGGGAAGCAATGGTTAAAGATGGTGACAGTTAACCATCACGTATATACTAACTAGTATACCGACTAGACTAAAGTGGGGGTAAGTGATATGTAATAAAGTGGGATGACACATAAGGATCTACTCATGAAAAGTTAAAGTGAAAGTGTAACTAAGTAGGACAATAATAAAGGAACACAAGAATCCTAAGTTACTTCTAATCAAGCACTACTTCAGCCAAAGGATCGGTTATACAGTCACTAGAACAACAAGTAGTAGTTCTATGGAGAAGATATTTCCACCAAGTTTCTTCAATCCAATGCATCACCTAATTATTCATCTTCCTTACGAGGCTCGGCTAGGAGGTCCTGTCCAAGCCCATTGGAACTATCCATTTGAGAGGTAACAATGAAACAGAAAAATATATAGGGCTTTCTTTTATAATTCTTTCCTCAGTTTTGTTTTTTCCTATAGGAAAATCCAACAACTTAAGAAGAAGGTTCGGAATAAGGCCCGTGTTGAGGGTAACCAGTTATGGGGGCTATGATGTCAATGGCTATAGGTTTTGATCAAAAGAGCATGAGCGAGCTAAATCAGGCTTAGCTACGGTTAATAGTGGTGTTTGTGTGTCTTGTGTTGATGACGACAACAATGAGACGGGATATTATGGTGTCATCAAAGACATAATAAAAATAAAATGGGAAGGAAGCTTGCCACTAGAGATGGTTTTATTTGATTGTGATTGGTTTGATCCAACACCAAGTGGAACTAAGCATAAAGAAAATTTAGGGCTGGTGGAAGTTAAACATGCTGCTAGACTTTTAGTTTTCAAACCGTTTGTAATGACAAGCCAAGTTAAACAAGTTTATTATCTACCTTATGCCTGTACGAAAAGACCAGATCTAGCTGAATGGTGGGTTGTATATCAAGTTAGTCCACATGGCTATATTCCTCCATATGGCATCAATGATGACTCCAGCGCTTCTGGGCCATCACAAGTACAAGAATTCTCATTTTTTTCAAGAGGAGGGATTGGATGGCACATTTGTGATTGATCTGAACATTGAGCTAGATAATGCAGCCCTAGTTGTTTCAGATGAGATAACTGATCCCAAGGACTTGGAGTTTCTGTTCAAATTGAATACTGAAGCTGAAGATAAGGATGATAATACATATGAAGATGATGAAGAGGATCAAGATGAAGATGACTATGATCTGACTGACCATCCAGCTTATAATCCAAATGATTATCGACTATTTATAAATTGTACCTGCACTCTGTATTCACTTATCAACTAGTGTGCCTTACGGAACTAATCAAGATTTGACACACCCCAAAATTTCTGATATTACTTTTATTTGTAGCCATATGTGTGATTTGACTTCCTGGGCTCACATATGGTGTGTATCTGGTTTTGTCCTTAAAACCGAGTGCTACAAGATTTATGTTGAAGTACCTATTATATGTGTTGTTTCTTGTCCTTGTTATGTGCAGAAAGTGTGATATATACATATATTGTTGCATGATTATGGATATGTTTTTCCTTGACACATGTGCAATTTACTAATTGTTTTCCTTATAAAACAGGAGATGCATGGGCTTCGACACAAAAGTCTTCAAGTAAGCAGGCTGCACCAAAGGGTGGAGGCACCCAAACAGGTTGTAGTGTTGATGGTGTGAGGTCTAGTAAACCTAACACTTGAAGGACCAGAGCTGAAGCTAGTAACCCCAAAAAGAGCAGTGCTGGTGGTGGTCACTTTGCAAGTACTGGTGATGGTGAGCAGTTTAGAATTAACACTAGAAGGACTAGAGCTCAAGGTAGTAACACCAAAAGGAGCAGTGCTGCTTGTGGTCAGGTTGCAAGCAATGGTGACGGTGAGAAGTCTAGTAACCTCATAAGGAGCCGTGCTGCTGGTGGCCAATTAGCATGTAGTCCTGATGGTGGTAACTCTACAAGGAGCAGTGCTGCTGGTGTCAGCTCCAAAGTGGTTGGGACTGAGGGTGCTAACTTAGAAAGAACCAGTTTGAATGGTCTTAACACTCAAACAGTTGGAGATGATTTTGGTAACTCACAAAGGATCAGTTCTAATGGTCTTAACTCTCAAATGGTTGGAGATGTTTCTGGTAACTCACAAAGGAGCAATGTTAATGGTCTTAACTCTCAAATGGTTGGAGATGCTTCTAGTAACTCACAAAGGAGCAATGCTAATGGTCTTAACTCTCAAATGGCTGGAGTTGAAGGTGGTAACTCACAAGTGAACTTTGATAACTCACAACTGAATATTGGTTCCAACTAGTCCTCTCAGGATCCTCCAAAAAGAGGGACATCGAAAATGTGCAGGACCAAGTACAAAATACCTCCACATAGTGGTAGAGTTCAGCTGGAACCTATAGGTCATTGGTAAGTATATGATATCAATTGTGATTAACATTGTGGTTCTTTTCATTCTGCTACATATTTTTTTGTATATGAAGCTAAATAATTGATTTGTTGACTTGTTTACAACAACCAATTCAAATATGTTGATTATAACCCTAAATGCCGCAAGTACCCCTCATAGTTAGGAACTATTCTCAAGCGAGAGTACTCAGGTATCGTCAGAATATATGATGAGAAAGGCACAATTGTGAAAGTAAAACCGACATTTTCGTGGAATGATTATTATTGGAAAAAGAATAAAGAAGGAATCTGTTGTGCGACAAGAGTGAAGCAGGAGTTCTGGGTATTACACTAACTTATTCAGATTATTCTTTAAATCTTTTTTCTCCATTTCTTATTTCTTCAGTCCAGTGCATTGCATCCTGATTGCATAATTCTAAAAGGATTGAATATTCACTCGGCAAGATTAAAGAATTTACGGTCAGTAATTTATTTGACTTGTCTTGCATATGCAGAGCACGTTTACATCTCATCCACGGCATAGGGCACGTGCTGCAAAAAATCTAGAGAACTATCTAGTCAAGAGAGTAACTAATATGATGTACCAAGTCCGTTTGGAGGCTGTCAAGAAATGGTGTCATAGAAATAACAAAGACTGCGATGATACTCGAGCCCGCACCATTGAACTAACAGAAGAACAGTACTTAACTTGTCGGGTGGAGTGGTGCAACGGGGTAGTTTGGGCCTTGCTTGCCAAATACTGGACTTCTGATGAGTACAAGAAAAAGAGATGCAGAGGCCAACAATCGCGCATGAGTTGTGATGATCCAGCTCAAAATAGAGGAGGTTCAAGAAATTTTTGCAAAGACACAACATTTCTTGATATGACAAATGCTTGTGTCTTGATTATTTTAGTTAGGAACCATTGAAAAAATCTACAGCTTATAATTCTTGTGCAACTTATAATTTTGCAGCTAGCTTATTTTAGTTGTGACAAATGCTTGTGTTTTGACTATTTTAGTTAGGAACCGTTGAAATCTGTAGCTTATAATTCTTGTGCGGCTTATAATTCTACAGCTTATGAAAGGTCCTAATGGCTAGATGGGGGTGAATAGCCTAATAAAACTTTCTACAATAACACTTAGCAAACTGGTTAGACAATTATGAGGCGAAGCAAGTGTTGCGCTAGCCTACTAAAATTGCAAGCCACCTACCATAATTCTAGTTGATATAGTTTCTATCCACACAAAAGCTATGTCACTACACTAAGTTAGTGTGCTCTCAAAGGCTAACTAAAGAGCCACACTAACCAAACTAACAAGCTCTCACAACTAGCTACACTAAAGAGCTTGACAACTAATTTACGGTAATGTAAAGAGAGTGAGTAAGAAGGTTATACCGCCGTGTCGAGGAAGGAGCCAATCAATCTCAAGGATGAATAACAATGAAGACCAATCACCTCGGAATTAAATGATTAACACAATGATTTTTTACCGAGGTTCACTTGCTTGCCGGCAAGCTACTCCTCGTTGTGGCGATTCACTCACTTGGAGGTTCACGCGCTAATTGGCATCACACGCTAAACCCTCAATAGGGTGCCGCACAACCAACACAAGATGAGGATCACACAAGCTATGAGCAATTCACTAGAGTACCTTTTAGCTCTCCATCGGGGAAAGGTCAAGAACCCCTCACAATCACCACGATCGGAGCCGGAGACAATCACTACCCTCCGCTCGACGATCCTCGCTGCTCCAAGCCATCTAGGTGGCGGCAACCACCAAGAGTAACAAGCGAATCCAAGAAATAAACATGAACACCAAGTGCCTCTAGATGCAAACACTCAAGCAATGCACTTGGATTCTCTCGCAATCTCACAAAGATGATGAATCAATGATGAAAATGAGTGGGAGAGCTTTAGCTAAGCTCACAAAGTTGCTATGTCAATGCAAATGGCCAAGAGAGTGAGCTTGAACCGGCCATGGGGCTTAAATAGAACCCCCACGAAATAGAGCCGTTGTACCCTTTCACTGGGCACAACACGGGGTGACCGGACGCTCCGATCATATTGACCGGACGCTGGACCTCAGTGTCCGGTCACGCGATGTACGCCACGTGTCCCTTCTCTTCAAATGTTGATCGCCCGATCTCAACGGTCAAGTGACGAGCGGACGCAGCAGCTCAAAGTGATCGGACGCTGAACCCCAGCGTACGGTCGTTTACAGTAAACATCCAGAGACGACTTGCTCGATCGGACACACCCAGTGTCCGGTCACTCGGCGACTCCCTTGTGCGCTGCCACGTCAGCAGGACCTGATGCAACCCTCCAGCATCCGGTCAGAGACCGACGCCAGCGTCTTTGCTGCTTCTACTGACCAGACACGCCGGTCCAACCAAGGCGTCAGTCCGGTCACTTCCAAGTGACCTCCGTCTTTTCTCAGATAGGGCACCGGTGGCCTTTGTCGGACTGTCCGCACTCTCACGGGCGTACACTCCACCGGGTGAAGTTCCTAACCCTTGCTCAAATGTGCCAACCACCAAGTGTATCACCTTGTGCACATGTGTTAGCATATTTTCACAAATATTTTCAAGGGCGTTAGCACTCCACTAGATCCTAAATGCATATGCAATGAGTTAGAGCATCTAGTGGCACTTTGATAACCGCATTCCGATATGAGTTTCACCCCTCTTAATAGTACGGCTATCGATCCTAAATGTGATCACACTCACTAAGTGTCTCGATCACCAAAACAAAATGGCTCCTATAATTTATACCTTTGCCTTGAGCCTTTTGTTTTTCTCTTTCTTCTTTTTCAAGTCCAAGCACTTGATCATCACCATGGCATCACCATCATCATGTCATGATCTTCATTTGTTTCACCACTTGGAATGTGCTACCTATCTCATGATCACTTGATAAACTAGGTTAGCACTTAGGGTTTCATCAATTCACCAAAACCAAACTAGAGCTTTCAGCTTACAATGTCTGCTTGCTGCTTATAACTGACACATGCATAATTTGTGGTTTTAATCTTATAGGAATTTAAATCTGGCCGTCCATAGAGTGGGATAAACATATTTGCTGCAATGAAATCTGGAGTTAAAAAAATGGATAGCACTGGAAGGAGTGCTCCAATCCCTAGCTTGAAAGCAAAAAAAAGATTGGTATGCTCCGCACAACATGCTTTCATTTGTTCTCAGAACCCAATTGAGGCATCCTTTGATACATTTTTCTGTTTCTATGTTAGGATGAGTACATGACATTAGCTCTAGATGCAAATTCACAAGAACTGGAAGGAAGAGCATTGTACACTATAGGACGTGGCATGAAGCATGGCCGTGTTCCAATAGGTGATGGTGTTGTGGATAAGGCAATTGTTCTAGCACATTCCAAATCTATATCTGTTAGGCCACCTGATCCTGATCATTATGAAAGTGTGCTACAAGAAAATGCACAATTGAAAACGAATAATGACATACTCGTTGAGGAAAATTGAATCCATCGTGAGCTATTCAAAGTAATAATTTTTCCATTGTATATGCAATTACTGTGTCCTAAGCATACAATTTCAATTGGATACTTTCAATTGCAGAGTGTGTTTGATCGGATAGGTGTAGAACCACCTGCTGAACTGCTTCAACGTCTACAAGACCTTGATGCCCGTCGTCATCAGGTTACTTTATTTATTGAATTTGTTTGTGCAATTCATATTCTTTATTTCGATCACAATTCATCTAGAGAATTAATATTGTTTCATGGCAGAATGCCAATACGAGTTGCAGCAGTGAACAAGTGGATTCTTGTTGATTAACAATGCCATTTTTAGGTTTTATGTTCATGGTAAGGTAGTGAAGAAAAGCTTTGATTGGCAGATGCCTATTTTTTAGGGTTCTCATCTACTAGGTTGTTTTAATAATACAACAAAATAGCCCTTTGTTATTTGATACTTTATAGTAGGCGCTTAGAGATTGAAGACCAAACTTTTATGTTCCAGAATTATACAAAAATATTTCAATATTGCCTTTTGCAGGCTACTGGGTCACATGGAGGCTCATTCTGTTGATGAAAGGCGCAGCAACGACAACGCTAATGACGAAGACGACGATGATGACTACAGCTACCATGAAAGCGATGATGATGACTGCAGCTACCATCAAGGCATCCATCATGTCCAGTACTCCAATGAAGACGATGATGATGACCACATTGAGGACGATGATGACGATGGCTGTCTTGAAGATGGTGATGATAGCAGCTCCTCCCAAATCGACGATGATCACCGCTCTACTAAGCAGTGACTATGCATGCAGACAAACTAATTCCAACAACTCCAAGTGACTACACAATGGGATGTGGACTTTCTTTTGGGTTTATTGATTGGTAGGAACTAAGATGATATTAGGCTGATCTTTTGCTAAGTGCAATATTGCCTCATGAATTGTGTGCAGTATTTGCCTTGTGTATGTGCTGCTATCCTGCTGACATGTAGGATGATACACTGTTGCTATCTACCTAAGTCTTATATTTGCAAAATGGACATGTAATGAACCAATGGATATTGGATGTGTTATCTAATCTAGCATTGGTTTAGTTTAATTGTGGCCTCTATCCTGATATTTGTTTTGGTCTACATTTATAATGAATGATCAATATTTTCTTGGCCAATTAAGCCCCTGTGCCATGCATTACCTTGAGGGTTAGCTGCCAAGGAAACACATTATTCCTTGGGGGTCGAAATCCTAAAGGAAATTACTATTTCCTTGAGGGTGTGAGCCCTCAGATAAAGCTATTGTTTTGACAGTTTATTTGTGTTACCTTGACGATGCTAACTCTCAAGAAAATATATATCCTTGGGGGCCAAACAAATACCTTGGCGGTAACAAACCCTCAAGAAAATATATATCCTTGGGGGCCAGCTATATTCCTTGGGGTCGTTAACCCTCAAGAAAACGCATATCCTTGAGTGTTGTTACTTTTCCTTGGCGGTGTTAAAAATCTGACTGCTTAAGTATTTCCTTGGCGGTTGAACCCTCAAGGAAATGATTTGTCACGGCCGGCACTCAAGGAAATAGCTATTTCCCTATCTCTCTACCCTTGGCGGTCATTCCTTGAGTGCTAGCCGCCAGTATTGATTTCCTTGGCGGTTTTGGGGCTTTCCTTGAGGGTTTTCGGCCCTCAAGGATATTCAGGTCTGTGGTAGTGTCTATATATGATGTTTGAGAGAAGAACTCTTTTACCCTTGGTGAAGATGGAAAAAATTATTGCTTTATCTTTAATTGAATATAATTAAATAGTAAAAGTTTAACTTTGGCCCCACCTATTTTGGTACCGACCCCACCTATTTTGGTACTATAATCACATATTTTGGTACCTCTATGTACTTTTAAATTGGTACCTCCTGTTTTTCCACCATTCTATTTTTCTCTATGGATGGTCCATATTTTTCCAACCATTATAAAATTTCTCTTGAGACAAATGAAATAAGCAAAAAATAGTTTGAATTCATGGTATCAAACATCACAACACGTCTGCATTTTCACCATTTACCATCTCTTGCAGCCATTGTCTTTGTTCCATTGTTTCCCCATAGTGCTTTCTTCTCTATCTTGGAGGTCTTCCATTATGCTTTTGCTCCAATCTCTCCATGGCTTCTATCCTTGGTGTCTTCTAGGCTACTATACTCTTTCCATTGCTAGTTACTCCCTTCGCTCCAAATTATTAGTCACTAAATTTGTCCCCTCTTGAATTATCATCAATTAAGCTCCATCGCCACTGGGGAGCCTACAACGTCATGGAACCATGAGAAAGGGTCATGGGGAGGAGGCAATGTTGCATGTTTTTAATTTCGAACGATTTATTTTGCATGCACTTAGGAAGTAGGGATTGGAATGTAAATACTCCCTTCTTCTCTTAATAAATCAATTTCTAAAGTTCTTAAGTCAAATATTTTAAATTTGACTAAGTTTATAGAAAATAGCAACAAACATTTAAGACACCAAATTAATATCATTAGATACTCTATAAAATATATTTTCATAATTTGCTTATTTGGTGCCATAAGTATTTATGCACTTCTCTATAAATCCACACATAAAAAATAACTTAATGTAATTCTTGGAATTAATTTATTCAGGGACAAGAAAGTATGGAATGGGGAAGAATGAGATGAGCGCGAAGAAGACCAGCGGATTGATTCTCCTTCTCAATAATTAGTCTTAAAAAGGTGTCTAGTCTTTCGCTTTGAATATGATGATTTTGAATCGCTCTACTTTATCTCCATGCTCTTTGATATCATATACAGTATATTTTGGTTATCCCAGAACAAATGAAAAAATGAGATACGATATCTACTTGATATATATGGGGTTTCTTTTTGGTAATGTAAACAATGTTTTGTTGTTGATTCCATGATAAACCACTGTCGTCTGAAGAGCCGACCATCCTTACAAATAAATTAATTACACTAACTTATTGAGTGTACAAAACTCTTCACAGACTTCAGACTTGCCCAATGAATTATTCTGAACCACGATCCAATCCACCCCGTTGCTATTGGGAAATTAAATGTGACTAACAAATACCACAAAAAAAAACCATCTGAGCATGTACCCGTAATTACTTATAACAGTGAGCAAAATACTCAATGTGGCTGGCTTTGAGAAATCAGCTAACTTAGCTCTTGTCAGCCAGCTGCTTAAAGTTGATGGGAGCGGTGAACTCCGCCGGGCCATCATAGTAGGCCTGGGCGCTGAGCATGGCAGCGCGCTGGGAAGGTGCACGCGGTCCCAGAAGAGGAAGCGGTCACGGTCGGCGCAGAGCTTGGCGCCAGGCAGGCAGTCCGCCTCCGCACCGAGCCGGCCGCCGCCGCAGCACGCGCTATCCTGGCTCACGAACCCTAGCGACAGCGGGTCGGTGCGCGCGGCAAAGCCGAAGGAGTCGGCAATGGAGTAGGCGAGGCCCGGCAGCTTCGGGGCGAGCCCGGCCAGGAGGGAGTTGAGGAAACCGTCGAAGCCGGCGGCGAGCTGGTTCAGGCCGTCGGCGCACCCGCCTGTGGCGTTGAGCACGCGCACGATCGGCACGCACCCGACCGTGCCCACGTTGATGATGCCGAACTTCCTGGCGCCCAGCTTGTAGAGCTCCGTGATGGCGGAGGAGTAGTTGGAGATGAGGCTGCCGTAGAAGGCGGCGAGGTCGCTCTGCGTCGCCGCAGTCTTGTTCTGCTTCGCTAGCGCCGTGGCGAAGGCGAAGAAGTCGTTGCTACCGACGCCGATGAGGAAGAAGGACTTGGAGAGGAGCTGGCTCACGGCGCGCGGGCCCACCTTGGACTCCATCGCGGCCTTGGTGGACTCGAAGAGCCGCACCTGCTGCGACAGTGGAATGTTGCCTCCTGCATTCTGCATATGGCACATGCATGCACGTCACAGTCACATTACTAGTGGAGCGGAGTGGTTAGCAGTAGCTCCTTCGGCTAATGATATCTTTGTCCAATCATGATTCATGCATTATTCAGCTTGTTGTCAGTAATAATAGTTTCTTAATTTATTTATTACACATCGTAGATTGTAGATGAAACTAAACACAACACACAGTTTTTTTTTTCAGAAATAAATAGGGAGTGGTGACTTACAGTGGAGTCGAGGATCCCAGCTCCTGCCGATGCGTAGCTTACTCCTCTAGTGATGGCGCTCGGGATCAGATAATTGCGCGCTTTGAGCACCATGTAAGCCAGAGGGCTCTTCTCGAATCCAAGATTCTTCGCTGCATATGTATGCAAGCACATGTATCAACGAATTAAAAGGGGTTCTATTACCCTATTACACAAGCTAATTAATAAGCTAAAACATTCATAGTACTATATAATCGTCGTCTATATATCCTGCCAAAGTTTTACCCCTGCTAGTATGCATGGTATACTTAATGGTAATCATCAGAAGTCTAGACTCAGAAAGCGAATGTATATTACCAACAAAGTCTGCGACATTGTAGCCATTGCTGAACCTTCCGGTGGGCTTGCCGGAGCCCGGCAAGTCGATGCCGTAGTAGGGCTTGTTGGCCCTGGGGACTTGCTCCCCTTCCAAGTGGTTGTTGTTGCCCACGTCCAGGGTGGAGTCCCCGAACACGTACATCGCCGGCACCCGCCGCCGCTGCACCGGCAGCTCTACGCCGCTGGCGACGACGACGCTGAGCACCATGCTGCTCAGAACAAGAACCTTCATGGCAACAAGCCCATACCCCATGGCGGTACGGTCGATCGATCCCTGTTCCCTGCAAACAAATCTAGCTAGCTCTAAAAGTTCTAACAATATGCACTATGCAGGTGTGTGTGTGTGTGTGTGTGTGTGTGTTGAACTACACACACTGTGTGTGTGTGCGCTATTTCTGATGAGGTTGTTGTGACTTGGTATGACTAAGGGGGAGCTATTTATAAGCACTCTCAAAGGCTTTAAGATGATGATGCCCTGCTATCTAGGAAACTTCTCATGGTGTAAAAGTGAATATGTGAATATAATCGAATGAGCACGTTGTGTTTACTGTTTATATATCCTAATCAAATACGCGCATTGGTAGGTGGCATGGGGTCTCTGCATGTGCCTGACACAACGAATAATGTACGAGTAACGAATCTCATGCATATAAGAACAAGTTGTTTTCTGGCATCGATGGTGTGGATCCGTTGACGCTTTTCTGCTGTCCCGATGCAAACTATACTAATACTGTATATCCTAGCTACTTTACACCTCCGTAGCTAGCTTTTCCTTATAATATCTATATATGTGTGTAGATCACACATTCGTTCTCGTTCCTGTAACCATACTTTATAGTTGCCATGCAATCATGCATCGACTAGTTGATGCTAACAATATTATAATGTACGCTTTCTAAACTCTTGGAATATTTGTGCCTTTGCATTTTGCTGTGTAATAAAACATGCATAATTGATCCATGATTTTTTTAGATAATATAGACGTACAAAACCGAGCTTGTCTTACTCTCGGAGATACAAACACGAAGTAGTACATGTGACCTAGTATATATGTAGCTAGATAGAAAAGATGCTATAAACTGTGAGTCTAGGGATTAATTTGTAGAGAAAAATATATACATCTCATGTTGGGCAAAAAGAAAACATCCACAAATCACACATAGAAGTATTTGCATTTTTTTGGCAGCGCTTCACCTCCTGTCCCCCCCAATTTCTGTCTATTACTAGAGGCCAAGGAGTGAGACATTATACAAGGAAAGTTAAGACCTTGCATTTTGTATTCCACACCCAGAAGAAAGTAGCAAAGCTTCCTATTATTCCTTCTTGTTTTTGTGTTTATGGTCTTGTGATCTAGTGTTTGCTCTTAGCGCTCACATATCAAGACTTGCCTCTCAAATGATAGACACGTTCATATGTAATCAGCAACACTCTTGCCTTGTTCTTATATACGGCCTATAGTAGTAGTACTGAGAACCTTTCTTGATCGGTCTACCAGCTAATAAGCTATTGATGCTCGTTCACTCGGAACATGCAACAACAGTGACCTGCTCTTCTTTTTAATACCCTGCAGCTCGGAGCTACAATGTGGATTGGAGAGCAGATACATCACCATGCCATTCCTAATACCTCCACGAGGCCTCTCGGTTTTTTCTTTATGCCTAACCACGTGATGATGGAGCCATTTTTTTTCTTACTCAGATGTAAAGTTTGAGGTGATTAGCTAGAGTAAACGCGGACCAAATGGATCAAAATATCAAGCTTGTGCTTATTAGAATAAATAACATGGAGGAGAATGCTCTGACATTTAGTGGTTAATATAATATATGGAGAGAAGAAGCTCTCTAATCCTACAACAGACCCTGTATTTGTGCACGCTCATGACCACTAGGTACTAAAAGGATACGTCGGGGATAACCAAACTATATTGCCGACCCTTTAATAGACATGCAAGCGCCGGGAGGGATAGTGACGCACGCCCATCGTCTTCCTCCTCTATCCCACATCTTCTTCCTCCATACCTATTGTCGGGGACCAAATGTTGGATACCCAAAGAGGAGGAGCTAATAACCATCAAACGTTGATGCTTCCGAAACGCATAAGAGCACGACTACACCTCTTGCCCGATGACGAGGGTTAACTCCGTCTCGTCCGACCCCCAAAGGTTGGCTCCGCCTCGCCCAACGTCTGAGGGCTGGCTCCGCCTCGCCCGACGTCCGGAGGCTGGCTCCGCCTCGCCCGACGTCTGAGGGCTGACTCCGCCTCGCTCGACCCCCGAGGGCTCGGCTCGCTTTCGACGTCCGCCGCCTCGCGCCGCCGCCGCGCCTTCCTAACTAACTACGCTTGCAGATAAGGCGGGGCACTCAAGTCAACCGCAATACCGAGGACCATACCCTGCACGCCTGCAGGAAAGTACCATCAGGATATGACAAGACGGGCGCTTTAAGCCCTTCCAGGCATGTCAGAGCCCGAACAGTGTTGTGGGCGCCGACATTTGTCTTACAGTGTTATGGGCGTCGGCATTTGCCATCGGGCACAGATCCTGACGGAAGCATACGACAACCACTATGGTCCAGGAGGAAACTCACATCATCTACAGTAACGGATGTGGGGTCACCGCGCCGTCTGCTCCCCGTAGGGTCGTGGTTCAGCACCCTAGTCCATCGCGCCACCCACCGGGGCGAGATGGGATGTGACCACTTGCTGACAAAGCCTGAACATGGCATCATCAGCGGGCATGCACCCAGCATGGGGCTATCCCTGGCACCATCTGCCGTGTCAGCAGGACTCAGAGGAAAAGGAAGACCCGACATTTTTTAAGGACCTCCTTGGCCTCTGGTTTTTCTTCTTTCTCCCATCTGTAATCCTTGCTTCCCCTTGGTCTATAAAAGGGAAGGCAGGACACCCCACTAGAGGGATCAAAAAAACACACCATGCATCACATCACACAAAGCTGAGCAGCAACCAAGCTCTCAGCACCCATTCAACATTTCCATCAGAGACTTAGGATTTTTCCCTCTCTCGCCCGTTTGTAACGCCTACTATGAACTTTTCAGTGCAAATAACACGAGCATCAGCCACGAACTGGACGTAGGGACATTCTACCCGAACCAGTATAAACCTTATGTCTGTTTAGCACACCATCCGGGCCAGACGCGCAATAATACAAATTTACTCGTTGGTGTTTAATCGAAACACCGACAGTTGGCGCGCCAGGTAGGGGACCTTTGTGCGTTCCAACATTAACATTAGGCCATGGATGGCTAGCCATGGTATCAGCTGGGTTCCGGGAGCACACGTGTGCTTCCGAGACCTGGACTTCATCATCACGGTGGGAGGAGAATTAGCATTGGCTCACGCCGCCATCCAACCTCTCCCCTCCATCAGCCTCGACTATGGAAGGCTTGAGCGCCAGCTCAGCGTCTCCCTGAGACCCCAGCCGTCTAGGGTGGACCCACGCCTCCTCCCCTTCTCTGACACCAATGTCATGGCATGGCTCGCCGGAGGGGAACCACTCTCTCCGGAACACCTTATACGGAGCGCCCCGACAGTGCTTCCATTCGGTCTCCATAACGCCGCGGCGACCGTTAGCCACCTTGTGGCACAATGCATGGTCCCACCGCCCATGAACGATGAATTCATGGGGGTGATCGAACATGTCGTGGAATCTTTCCACGACCTCCTGGCAGAAGAGCCAGAGTCGCCCTCTGGCTCTGACTCTAGCAGGGGAAGCCACCACCTCTCTCGTGAATGCTTCATGACGGGTACCCCCGAGGGGCACGTCGAAAGCGTCCACGAGGGGGAGGCTACCCCAACAAACGACCTCGATGATGAGGCCAAGAGGGAAACAGCGGCCCTGCCACGCATGCCAATGGAGCAGCTGAAAGCCCAACACCGAGAGATCGAGGAGTTGCGACTCTAGCTCGAGCAGGAATGCACGGAGCTCGAGCGCAATGGCCCATGATGTGAACCCGAGGATCATCACCGATGATGAAGCCCTCCCTCGCTTCGCCCAGGTGAGCCAGAATATCACCGTCGTGGCGGCCTTGCTCCATGGCCTTTCGGAGGCCGCAATGCTCGAGGATCGTCGGGCCCACCACAAGATTCGCACACTGCTCGAGCGTGCGGTGGCGCAGCAGGCCGAAAGCTCGTTGTCTCGGCGACGTGAGCTCGACGCTAGCCAGCGCACGCCCTCGGAGCGTCCCGTTAGGGATGCTTTGGTCCACCAAGAACCACAAGGAAGTAGGCAGCACACCGCGGTCCCGATGCGTCAGCATCTCGGCCGCAACGGTGACGCACGCAACACCCTCGATGCACGCTGACGCGTCTACGATGACCCGAGAGAGGGAGCCAGACATGGCTATCACCCTCATTGTGGACGGCCCGAGAGAGGGAGCTAGACGCTAGACATTT